CTTCCTCCCACTACTGAGACCGATGAAAAAGGCGGGGAGAAAACCAAGGTGCCACCACCGGACCGACCGAGCCTGTTCTCCGGAATCTTCATCCCAGATGATAGCCATCAGTAATGTATGCCGAGTAGTCTCCGGAGTTTAATAGCTTGCCTTGATCATTCTGGAAGTGAACAAGGTCAATTGAAGTGGTTATCCTCAAATATTGCCGGATTTCCGATGATGTAACCTCACTTAGATAATGTATATCCCTGGCTATCTCCGATCGTTGGCATTAATATTTGTATACGCCGTAGATTATCTCCGGGAATCAGGAATATATTCTTAATCATTTGATGAAATGCTGAGTTGTTAGTTGTGTTAGATAAATCACGGCCGATCCCGTTGCCAACTTTGTCTCTCGTGAAATCTTTGACGGCATATTCCTTGGAATCTTGCTCCAACCCTCGATTTTGCAAATGGTATAAAAGGTTCATCCCTGATGTCGGGTAATGCTCCCATACATTGTACCGGATGGGGTATCCAAGCAATATTTGTCACCCATACTCAGTATCCTACCAAATTGACAGAGTCACCAGGGAGCGACTTTACCGCTTGCATTTACGAATATGAAGCCCCAAATGAGCTATGACGATGTGGCATGGGAGCAGTCCGATGACATCTCGGACACTTGGGTGAAAAGATTCCATAACATCGAGGTGAAGAAAGCCATTGCGAATTTCATCCTGACACATGATTCCGGCGACGACCCCGAATTTAGTATTGTCGGAAAAGGCTCGTTTAACATCATCTTGCAAATGAAGTACACGCGAAGGGCGACTGACATTCGCTTTTCACAACCTGGAGCGATCATTTTCCCCGAGGAAAAGACGAGGAACGAAATTGCTTCGATGCGATACCTGTCAAATCGGACATCAATCCCGGTCCCTTCTGTTCTTCACTCTGGGACTCGAGATGAGAGTCCGCTCGGAATCAGCCCTTTTATTATGATGAGCCATATTGAACACTCGACAAACATGTATACTGCATTGAATGCACCAAGCTGTCCGGTGGAGAGGCGAGGATATCTTAATCCACACATCAATGAAGAGGATCTTTGGAAGCTCTACGCCGAACAAGCAAAGATTCTTCTCAGACTTGTCAAGCCACAGTTCAACTTGATAGGGTCGCTTGTGCAGGTAGATGATTGTACTTGGGAGATAGCCAGTCGTCCGTTATCAATGAACATGAACGAGCTCGTTCGTTTGGGAACATTGCCTCGCTCAAAGCTTCCATCACCAGACGCCACTTTCAAGACTACGTCTTCGTACATGGAAGCATTAGCACTGCTTAACATCCAGCATTTGATCCATCAAAGGAATGATGCAGTAGAATCTGCAGATGACTGTCGGAGGAAGTATATTGCCAGGCAGCTGTTCTACAAACTTGCCAAGGAAAGGAGACTCTTCAGCGCACGCCATGAGCATGGACCATTCAGGCTCTGGTGTGATGATCTCCGACCAGGCAATATTCTCCTAAATGACGATAAAAGAGTGACTGGTGTGGTGGACTGGGAGTTTACCTATGCAGCACCGGTCGAGTTCTCATTCGCACCGCCGTGGTGGCTTCTGATCGAGAATCCGGACGGATGGTCTGATGGGATCGAGGACTGGAAACGGATATTTGACCAACGCCTCAAGACATTTCTCTCGGCATTACGGCACTGTGAGAATGCCAATGGTCTGCCCAGTGAGCTTCGACTATCGGATGAAATGGAGAAGAGTTGGAAGACTGGCGACTTCTGGGTGGTGTATGCCGTTTTGCATAGCTTTGCGTTTGATGCGATATACTGGTTGGAGATAGACAAACGGTATTATGGACCCACCGAGACTGGCGACGTAAGTGAGGCATGGAAAGAAAGGGTACGGCTCCTGAATGAAAGCCAAAGAGATGAGATGGAAAAACTGGTAGTGAAGAAGCTTGCCGAGATGAAAACTAGGGTATTGGCATGGGACCCAGATGAGTATACTGAAGAATATTACCAGGTACTGAAGAGGAAGAGACAGGAAGAGGCGAGTGAACAGGCTTAGGAGCGTGAAATGTGATCGTTTTTGGGAACGATCGACGGTGGGAGACCCAGCGCCATGTTGACATAGACGGGTCAATGTTATATCCCATGAATAAGATTTGCGAAAGGCTTACATATCCGAGCTGAATTTAAGATGTTACTGGCAGGCATAGAGACATTACCCAGCATGTACACTCATTCACCTTTGCCGAGAACTTAAGATAACTCTCGCACAGCAATCATACAATAGGATAGAGAAATCCGATAATTTGCCATCGCAGTGATGGGGTCAACAGCGTGTAAATATCTGTCAGGCATAGGTATAAAATAAAACATAGCATCATCTCGCTAAGCATCTGAGTCAAATCGTGGTGAACAAGAAAACTTTGAATACTCCAATCAATACCGTATATGAAGAACTGAGAATACATGTCATGTCTCAAACTTCAGTAGTCAAGCACGGCACTGTTGACGGCACTGTTCGGCGAATTCCTCTACTTTGCTCACGAGTTGCTCCGTCCAGCTCAGATGCGGGCAGTGACCAGTAGGCGCATGATAGACGGTAAATGCGATTCCTCTTTGAGCTTGCAATGCAATCATTGCTTCTTGGTATTGCCGAAGCAGTGTCGTATCGTTATCCGAGACTAGGTATGCACAGGGCAACGATGAGTAAACGTCATGGGTCAACACGCCTGTGTTGATGGGCGATGCTGTCAATGTTGCGGCCCATTTGGCTGCTTCATCCGCTTCCAGGTCATTGAACATGAATCGGTGGGGTTCCACAATGGTTCCTAAGCCAGCGGCTCCATGTTTCTAACAACCCTACCGTTAATCATGGTTGGTTTAAAAACACGATGTGCGAAAAACAACTTACATGGAATCGCATGAATGGCGGCGTGACAATCGGGCCCTCCTTGGGTTGGAAGAAGGAATGTACGGACTCCCCAACAGGTATGACAAAGGCATTTTCAAAGAAGACCCCTATCACGCCCCCTTTGTGACCCTTGGCTTGACGAGACTTGTACTGTAATTCGGGGACAGCAGCCTGAGAGGCAATAAGACCACCTGATGAATGGCCGAGGATGATGACATTCTTGCCCCCTTGGACTATGAGCTTTTCGAGAAGCTGATTAACGACCTCAACATCGTCCGAGTCGGTGGGATATCCCTCAGCCGGAGGACCCAAGTCAAAGTCTGGGTGATTGATATCCCCCACGTTGAGTTGGGTGAGATCACATGTCGGGCGCTGGGGGCAATAAGCCTCGAAGCCTCTGCGTTCAAGGGACTGCCTAAAGGGCTCATAGGGGGCAGGAGTATGATAAGAACCTGTGCAGATGACGACTGCTAATTCGGCGCTCTCGTTGGTGGCCATAATGATCCGGGTTACTCGAAAAACTTCGGTTTAGTTGTACGACGCGGATGTAACTGGATTGATGATTCAACAATAAATGCGGAGGGAACAATATAACTAATCGCACAATGACGAAGGAAGGGCGAAGGAATCTTTAAATCGCGGCACGTTTTGGCCCCCACCAACACGAAAACTTTTCCAGTAATGATCCGATAAGATTCATTTGCTCCTGTTCTCCTAGTGCCAGTGGTATGATAAACGCAGGCTAGAGCACATATGGCTCGGTCCGATCAAATCCATTTTTCTAGCGAGTTGAGACTAATGATATAACTAACAACTAGTACATCAGATCGCTGGTGGAAAGATGCCCCCAAGGTAGCCGCAACGTCTGGTATGATCACCAAATTGAGGGAATGGGGCTCAACCTCCCGGGCCCCATGAGAGTTGAGTTGCAGGTAGCACCTTTATGCAGTGGAAATCACATAATGGGAGACCGAGTAACACCTGAATCTTATCCAAGAGCAGACAATAAGAGGCGGGATCACCAAAGACGGTGGACTCTTGGTTTGGCGTTGCCCAGGAGGAGAAAGATAATCACAACATTTCAGGTTGGAGCCCTGGTTCGGTCTACAAATACTTTCAGAACAAATCATCTCGGTGGAGACAACAGGAAGCCCATATGTTGGCGTGATAATCTGGATACAGCACCAGCTATGGTAAGCAGGCTGGAGCGCCTTGACCGCGACCATCCCGCGCTCCGCCCCACTACGCCTGACTCTATGTCTTGCCCTCATCGTGAGGTTGTCCATATTGTGGAGGCTGTATTACTCCCGCTGCATCAGTTCGACCGGCGCCAGTGGCCGCGCTTAGATGCTGACCAGTTATATCCGGACAGATAGATAGGGGCAACCGTTCGGATTGAGCCGCTCCGCTTCGGACGGAAGGTGCACCTGCTCGTACCGTTCTTTAGTATCTCTTACTTCAACTATGCGGCACAGCCCCTCGCACGTGGCCCACCCACAAAAGTAGATGGGTGTTGGGAACACAGGTTGTGAGGCTGAGACGTTCCTCCTATGAAAGTAGATGCATAAACCAGGAAGGATTCCTGGTGGGGTTTTCAGGCACCCGTCGAAGTAACCGGGCCCTTCCGGTGAGTCCGATCGGTGAACCCGATGAGAATCCTGTTCCTGGTGAACATGAACGAAGGGTCTTCCGAGTTTTCGATGAATATAGGTGACAACTGCGGCTCCTATATGCGCGTCAGCCTCTAATTTCAGGCACTCTGCTCAGAATCCAAGTCGGAGTGTCTTGGCTATGCAGTACGTTGCATCTGCCGTCAAACGATAGAGCCTTAAGCCGAGTCAGACGGCGGCAACACCAAGGTACGCCCAGCCCGTGATGCCTTGTCACTGTCAGATTTTAGTGCGATGAACACCGAACCTTTAGGCGAACGGAGGCGCCCGGCAACACACAAGCTGTGCCGTTTCTTAACATTAGAGGATTAGATGAAACATGCGACGTGGGGCCGCATGTCTTCGCCATCTTCCAATTTCACATCAGAAAGCGTTATAATGTCACTTGAAGTCTTGTCAACAAGAAAGCTTCGAAATCATCTCATTACTGGTACCTGAGAGGTTTATTCAGATAAGCTCATCTCTACCCAGTTTAGTTCCACTGCTGTCCCGTTACGGGCATAAAATAGCCTGCCGATCGTTCTAACTTTCTTTCGCCTTCTATCTTTTCATTACACTACAATCATCACCACATTGCCACCGAGCATTTAACTCTTCTATTTCTCATCGGGAACAAATAGGTCTGGTAGACATATATACACTACCATGTAAGGGTACCATTCCAGTATCCCTGTCGGCGACCTAAGTGAACAGGAAGAATATATGCAGCGGGAGATCTCAATGAAAGATTCATCACTCGACTACACCAACATTTCTGCAGAAACGTTTTGCACACCCAACAAGCTATTTGGCATCGTAATTTGACTCGGGTTGGTCTGGTAAAAAACACCTGGAGAAGTAAGATGTGTCATCTGCTGGGGGCGGATGCCTTCACCACCCCGTTCGAGCTCATCGTCTAGTGAACCGAGCAGCGCGACAGTATCAACACGCTGCTTCCGACGTGACAAAGATCGCCCAATAGACCCAAAGGTTCTGAGGCCTCGCCGAGCCACCTCGGGAGGCTTGGCGATCTGGACGCGGGACCGGAAGAAGAGCGCGCCCAAGGTCGGTGCACAGGATACCATAATGCCGCAGGTGATTTCGGCCATGCACAGTATCGACGCATCCAGTGCGCAATATGTTATATTGGCCCCGTCGCATGTCTTCGTTTGGATAATCCGTTCAATGTTCACACCAGCTGTTCTATACTTGGCGTTAGATCAATTCCCAAGAGGGGTCTGTGTCGAAACGAGAAGCAGTGTAGAGGCAAGGTGGAGGGATACTGAAAGCCAGCAGCAGTACTTACATCAAACCCAGTAGAAAGGCCGTAGTGACACCAATTTTCTTCTCCTTGGGCATGTTTAAGCCCCACACAACCGGCATCGGTAATGAAACGATCAACAGGTCGACCGTGAGATTGAAACTCCCTGAGGCAAATTCCACCTTGGTTATGTCCCCGCATGTCCTACTTACGGTGATATCCCAGTTGGCATTTATAGGCCGGCAGAATAGAGCGATCGTCAACACCGATGCGATCCAGTAGAGCGTAACCAGCGCCATTGTTGCGATTGTGCACCGGCGGAACCAGTCGCCCCGGAATAGTTCCAAGTACAGACACAAAATGGCCAGACGAAAGGCTGCTACCGCTAGACAGAAGAACCATTGGGATGAAAATAAGACTTTCAAAGAAATCGTCAATTTGTCCATGGGGACAATGGTGATGTTCCAGCCATATGCTCCCGCCAAAACCCCTAGTCTCTGTTAGCCAAAAAATGGCAAGCAATAAGTTTGAGAGGATTCCCGAGAATTGACGTACCGACAAGGTCGTCTATCACAAAGCCGGTGAGGCCAAACTGCAGGAATGATTTGTTAATATCTCTAAGATATTTTGGTGAGGTAGAAGCCGCATTTTTGAGGCACAGGGAAGGAGGAGGCAGCATACCAGCGCCAAGGCGGTCAAATGATCATGGTTCTTCCAGCCGGTCTTGCGAACTCGAATTGAAATCACTCGCAGTAGTACGGCAATCGTACTCAGGGTCCAGAGTATGACGGACGCGACAACTAGTCTCGTACCTTCTCCACGACCAGTGGACATTGTGTAAGATAGTACTAGTAGCCAGAACATATATAATGTCCGAACGCACACAGGAAAGTGATATACAAGAGGAGGGAATAAGTCTTCTTGGGTTGGACAATAAATAACTTTCCCCTCAAGCAGTTTACTGGGTCTGCCGCCCTTGAAGGAACCCCGCACGCTGGCTTTGCACATGATGCTAAGAGAGGTGAGACTTCCTATTTGCAGCGGGGCTGCTCCTCAACCGGTCTTAACAGGGATGTCAAGCGTTAGACTTGGTCCTATCACAAGGGTTTGTAGAGAGTAATTGACGAGCCACAGGTGACGGAGAATGCATGGTGTTGGCCGATCAACCAAGGCTAATGCAACAGGGTGGGCTAATTGAAGACCGTCAAGCATTGGCTTTGAGACGGGACGAAGGCGATATGTTATTCTAAATATTGTAACACGGGCAATCCAACAAAGATTGCTAACTTCGACTTTGACTGTGGTTGAAGCTGCTGAGAATCCCTTGACCAAATAAGAATATTTACAGTATAGCTGCGGGAGCTGAAGTTCAGCCAATGTGATCTGCAGAGTAACAGCTAGTTGATCCTTCAGCTGACCTTCCTTTTTTACCCAGATACTGCTAGGGCTGCGGGGCGTAAAGAAGACCCGACACCGCATCACTAGTGTTGCCACCGCCAGCTGAATCTGTATCACGAGCGGGGTCTGCCCCCCCGCACAGCTGGTGCTATTGTGGCAGCGTCGGAGAATCCTGTTTCTACAGGACGGCTCCATGCTTTATTATCAATGAAAGGTCAAACAGAAACACGGGCGGCTGGAGTACGCGCTTACTGAATGGTGTCCGATCATAAACATGAACCGCTGGACAGTTTCCTCTGGCCGTACAATAACGCGAACCATGGAAGCGATGTGGAATATGAGAAGCCAATCCCGCAGCAAATTGGCATGTAGTATAAGCACGATTTCGATTACGTCGGGCATATCTGTGCGATCAGTTACATTTACTGGGATGGCTGGAAGCGCCCACTGACAAGGTTGTTGATAGGCCCTGCTCAGATGGCTGGGCCTGGACAACCCCACACTGTCCGGTCGTCCCAGGCGAGCGCCCTTGTAGTTGCTTGCTGTGAAACCCAATCAGAGTTACATTTCTAGATGAACCAAAAATAGAATGGTATGTGATAAAACATACATTAGTCGTACTTCCTAAGGCAAAAAAATGTGTAAGAGTTAGTCCGTAGTTGCTCCCCAGTCACATTTCGCAGGCGTGATCTGTTCGGCCCCGTCAACCTTAGTGCAGGATTCCGCGAGGCTTTTCTTTTTCGCGTCCAACGTTGCAGGCCTGTATTGCTGCATGCGGATCTAGCATAGCCATCATACCTACTATATATATTACTAAATCTACTTCACTCCTGCGATTTGAATATATATAAATAACTCTCGCAGGACTAAACGCTGGGTCGCCGGTTAGTCTCCAGAAGCACTGCCATCATTCGCAACAATGCCAGTATAGAAACAACTTTTGCTGAGCTTATAATGCAGTGGATGTCTCGAATCCTTCAACAATTTCAAATGCATATCTTGATGCGCTGTTGGATGGCCAAATCCCTAGTGGTGAAGCACTTACTGGTGTAGTATCCCACAGCTTGTCTCACGATGATACTATTGGTGAGCAAATCCATGGCAGCAGTCCCACCTAGCTGGCCTTTACTGAGGCCAGAGGGTAATGAAAGCATCCAGATCATAGGGAAAGCTACCGACCTCAGAGAGCATTGACCGAGGGGAGACATGAAGGCATGATTGAAGGTTAGGAGTGGTTCAGTCTGACTATGGGACATGTCTCCTACTACTCTTACCTTCGCGATTGGAATAGTGAACTCCCTTGAACCTGGTAGGATACCTGAAAGCACAAGTGGGTATAGCTAGAGGTACTTTATGTGCTTTATATACCTGCCTACCAGCGCCAAGACCTCTACGATTGAGAGAAATTGTTGAAGCCACCCCTGAAAATCCTGAACAAGAATCTAGTAAATAGCTGTGTTGATAAACATAATTCCTTTGCGCTAAAACGCTATTGTTGGGATCAACTTGTCCTCCAATCGCAGTGGTATGCCTGGGCGGGTGGACCACGGATGACGGATTTATAGCCAATTACCGCACTACAGACCATTGGTCCATCATGAAAGTGGGTCTAGTATGACTACCATAGTACTAACTATACAGCCCGATGACCGTTTCTCAACCAATCATTGAAGCCAAGAAGCATCAGAATAATTTTTCTGGATGGCAACGGGAACAGACACACCAGAACGTGTCGGTTGAAGATCTTCGTCAACCTTGAGCAGAGCACTTCAAAACTACATAAGGGCTCATTTCTTCTCATTCAACCAGCGACTTCGATCCAAGTCTTGTTATCAGGCTACTCCCTCTTGTTTCCCCAGGTCTTTTTTGCAGGCCTCTAATTTGCATCAGCCCGGTCTTTGTGTTTACAAAACTGAGAGTGAAATTTGCCTTAATAACAATATGTCTACGTTCAGCAGCCGGGACAATCCTGACCTCCCCGGCCAGGTCATTATTGTCACTGGAGGCAATGCGGGTCTAGGGTACGAAACCATCTGCCAGCTCGGCAAGAACAACCCAGGTCGCATCTACCTCGCTTCTCGATCTAGAACCAAAGCCGAACAGGCAATGACCCAGCTTAATCAGGAAAATCCAGGACACACCGAGATCCGATTTCTCCAATTGGATCTGGCTTCCTTTGAGAGCGTCAAAGAAGCTGCCGCAGGCTTCCTTCGTCAAGAGACGCGCCTTGACATCCTCATAAACAACGCTGGCATAATGATTACTCCAGAAGATGTCACCACGGACGGATACGAAATCCAATTTTGCACAAATGTGCTGCGTCCTGCTTTGTTTACCCAACTTCTGCTGCCCACTTTGCGCAAGACAGCAGAGGTCAATAGCCAAACTCGCATGGTTATGCTCTCCTCGGCTGCACATGCCATGGCGCCCAGTGATGTGTAGAACTTCGATGGACTTCGTACGAACGCTGCCAACCGCCGCACTACTCAGCGCTACACCACGTCCAAGCTCGCCAATCTCCATTATGCCAGAGCGTTGGCTGAGAGGGAAACAAAGGTGAAGATTATCTCGGTTCATCCCGGGATGGTGGCAACCAATCTTCATCATTCGTCCACTGGCATCTTCTTTAGACCCTTCCACCACGCTGTGGCTTACTTTGCTGCAACGCCGGTGGAAAAAGGCGCGCTCTCTCAAGACTTTGCGGCTGTTAGCCCAGGAGCGAAGCACGGGCAGTACTACGGCCCTATAGGCAAGGCCGAAATTGGATTCAACTTGAGCCGCGACCATGATCTCCAGGAGCGATTGTTCAGGTGGATTCAGGCGGAGCTTTCACCACATGTGGGGACAATTATGTGACGACTGGCTACATACATCATGTCACATCAAGTTAATTTCATCCCAGGAGGGCAAATGTGAGCTAGAATCATAATCAATGGTTAATACACATTTGACAAAGACGAAAATCAAACACCACTACGTACGACGCTAGTATTTGTGGTGGGTTCTAGTATGTCGATGAAGGTGTATCGCTTCGTGCAATATGTACTATGAATGTCCCTTTGCCCTCCGCCAAGCATGTAGAATTTGCTTGGTTGGTTGGCGCACCCCTCGCTCAATGACCAAACGCTATTCGCAGGGCTGACGGCGAAGGTAGCAACATCCTTACCTTTAGCGACTGTGACTTTCCGAAATTAAGTTTAGTGACATCCAGGGTTACAGTGATGAATGCGGGAATGGCGGTCACAAGTAAAGATGATTTGCCCCTTTCTCAAAAGCCTTCTTGTAAATTCGGGTCAGCTGTGAGTGGCTAAACCCCGTCATGCGGCTGGTTTCCACAAGGGGATTATTATCAATGCTCGCTCCGAAGTTTCTGTTGCCCTGCGATGGTTGCCGCCACGCAGCATTAGCCCAATTGATGCCATTAATGACCTTGTATATAATTTATTTCTATCATTACCACGACAAATGTTGGCTAGAAGCTACACGGCAGTTATAACCAAACCAACGACATGGACAAGGTAGCACGTGAAAACCGGCCTGCGATGGAGAAACTTCGGTGACATTAAGGAAATGAATGAGAGCCATTTTTCTCGTTCTCCTTATGCATGATCATCTGCTAACTCGATATATCCACCGTATGTCCGCGGTAACCTTCTGCTTAATACCCTTTTATATTTCACATTGAATTTAACGCACATGAAGAAGGAACTTAAAGTCCGCATTCCACAAGACCTCCCGAGATGGTGGTATGACCTTCCTGAGATCGTACATAGTAAACTGGGCGAAACTGAGCCGAGCTTCCGAACCCTTTAACAAGCACCTACGTAGGAAATCCACGTTTATTAGGCAATAAAACGTCATCCACTAGCATTTTCCGAGTGTACTCAGTGGGACGGCAAGATTTATTCGAAATGACCACTATAGCCCTCTTGCGGGGTCCAGCAGGCAAACACGAGAATGAATTTGGAAACTTGTGTGAATATTACAAAGGGGATAATACACTATGCCTTATGCATGAGCCAAGAAGAAGGCTTTTTAAGCGCTCATATACGACATTCACGGCGGTTCCAAGGCCGACTATTCGCATTTTAGCGGGTTTGGGATATTTTCATCAAATGCTAGATCTTGGGCTACGCTGTTCAGGCACAGAGCTGTAAAGGATCTGGATGTGATGTCCCCTACTATACTTGTATGTCTATACAGACGCTGGCCTACTTCTGCTCCATAGAATGCCTTGTCGGCACTCCCCACGGTAAACTCACCGTCCATAAGTACTATATATATTTTTTCAGCCCGAAAGCTGCTCCTAACTCTAAGGGCCATCGATGAAAAACAGAGTTGATATATAACTTGGCTAGCCGTCAACCATGTGTTCATACAACAATTTATTTTGTCAAAGAGTATCTTATCGCCATTCTGAATCTCCCTTTTCTCCCTCCACTAAATAGTGGCTAAAAGATTCACTTTTTTTGCAATACGTACATCGTAAGTGGGGCAGACCAAACGCGGGGTAAGAATGGTACCGGGTAACGAACGGGTATTTAACGGACGGGAGGCCCTCGAGACGAAAGCCACTTCCCCAACTCCAAAACTGCGACTCCATAGTGGAAGAATGCATCCCCCATGAATGTCGGTGGCAATTCATCATCGCAACGCTCAACGACGAGGGGCAGTGCCACGGGGAAGTCGCGTCGACGCATCAGACCCTCACGCTCACGTGGATTGAGAACAAAGACAGGATGGTAGGTGGGCCCTTTCTTGCTTGGTTAACTGCTCTGCCATCTTCACAATGGCACCTAAGCGAACATCAAGCTCGCTTACACACCAGACAGCCTTACCTGCAGAGAGAGACGCGTCAAGTGCGATGACAGTAAGCCGACCTGCTTGCGATGCTCCAAATCTGCTCGCATCTGTCGGTATGCCTCGGACGCGACACAGCACTCTGATCAGAGACGTGCAGCTACAGCTGCAGCTCCCCCCGCGGCCGACCGGGAGCCCACCAGGGCGCATTTGAGCCCCAAAGAGACGGGTCGCCACCGTGCTGACTACAACAGGGCAAGCAATCCAGACGCTGTCGAGGAGAGCTCGCCGAAGCCCCAAGAACATCACTCGGATGTTGCGGCAGCATCGACGTCTCATCCGACCGCCTCGGCCATCTCTGAGGCCGCTGTACCACTGCATCCAGACGGCTCAATCGAGTCGCCGCACTTCGACCCCTTGCATGAACACAATGAGCAGAGATTGCGTAGCCTTGACCCTGCGTTTCCAACGTCTCCAGTTTCGCTAAGTCAAATCTCCCTGCTGAATATCTCCCCCTTCGAGTGGTACGACTTGCTAGCGCGGGATGCCATCAACCACATCCAACGATTGAATGATACGTCAAGCGGCGACCCTAGATGGCGATTTCCTGAGATTGCACTCTCTCGTAGGCAGTCACCCGCCCCTGAACATCCCGGGGCTCGGCTTCAGCAGGAGGCGAGGTACAATGAGCAGCAGCGACACGCTCTGACCCATGGAGACGGCCACACTGGATCACCCTTACCAGATTATCAGCAGTTATCCCAGCCTTGGAACACCACAAGTAGGCTAGAACTATCGCCAACCGACCTCACCTTCTTTCAGTACTATATCGAGGTGGTTGGGCCGATTCTAGACTTGTTTGATCCCGCTCACCATTTCAGTAATGTTGTGCCCCATCTGGCACTACGAAACACGGGGCTCTTGAAGTCTATCCTTGCAGTGGGCGCCAAGCACATGTCTCTGTGTCTTCGGCATAGAGGAGATGGAGATGCAGCAGATGGCCATGTAGCAGGTACCCCAGCTTCATTGCCCGGAACCGTCCTGTCGACAGAGTCAGACTCTGCTCCAACCCACATGGCGACCCAGTACTACTACGAAACCCTTCACTATCTCTCACAAACACTACTGTATCCATCTTATGCCGACTCCCACGAGATCTTGGCGACAGCCACCATGATTAGCACATACGAAATGTTTGATGCGGACAGCTCTGCGAATAGCAGTGTCTGGGAGCAGCATCTGCGCGGCTCGTTCTGGATCCAGCGGTCTCAGGATAATGATGGCGAGTCGGCCGATGGTTTGCGACAGGCCGTATGGTGGGCTTGGTTGCGACAAGACATTTGGGCAGCCTTTCAGGCGGGCCGGCCCACCATTACCTTCTGGCGTGCACGCAAACCTCTCCAGGAACTCAGCTCGGACGAGCTAGCTACACGAATTGTCTACCTTTGCGGGAAGTGTGTGAAATATGCCGCTTCGGCTGCAATCCCGCCACACCAGGATCCGAGAGAACGAATTGAGCAGGGTGACCGACTCCTGAGTGCGCTCGACGAGTGGCATCATATCCTGCCCGCATGGTACCAGCCCGTGGCAGTTGCCGGGGTTGGTGGTTCAAGCGTCGTCTTTCCTCCGATATGGATCCATCCGCGAAATCATGCAGGTGCCATGCAGATGTATCATTTCGCCAAGGCGACAGTCCTGCTGAACCAGCCCACACTGGGCGGACTTAGAGCCTACCTGCTTCGTGATAAGCAGCTGACGGAAAGTGTCAAAATGGTCTGTGGCATTGCCAATTCGTGCCAGGAGCATGACTGTGCAATGGCATTCATCAATGTACAGGCGTTATTTGGAGGTAAGTCACACTCATCCTGTTCTGATCCAAGACTAACATCATACAAGTTGGCCAATTTGTTCGGTCACCCGAGATGCGAGAGGAGCTGCTACGCATTTTGGACAACATGTTACGAATAAGTAAGTTTCCCGCCAAAGGTCTTGTTGCGCGACTGCAGAGGGTGTGGCAGGAGTGAAGTCCCGACCGGGGATAGAAGATGTTTGTCTATAATATGATGTATTTCACAGAGCCCATACCAGCACATGTATCTTATGAGAGAAATTCAATGACTACAATGAATTTCTCGGTTATTTCAATCAAAATATTCCAAGGTACAACGATCGCATAATGCATAAAGTATGTTCTTGAGATTATCTCTGAGTCTAATTTCTACCACGCCCCCACAATGCCCGCCACGGGAATATCAATGCCCGTCGTATACGACGCACCGTCAGAAAGCAAATATACATAAGCTCCGCCCAGCTCCTTGGGATCCGCCAACCTGGGCATACCGCCATAATACTGCATCTTGAGATCCCAGTCCGGGGCTTGATCCACAAAGTAAGTCATGGCCGTCTTGATGAACCCTGGCGATACCGAGTTGACGCGAATCCCATGCTTGGCCCACTCCATGGCCAGTGTGTGTGTCATGTTCCGCACGGCACCCTTGGTGGCTCCATAGGGTGCGGAAGGAGCTGCACGGTTGGGGCGATAGGAAGTCATCGAAGCCGTGAAGACAATAGACCCCTTGATTCCGAGGTCGATGAAGCGACGAGCGACTGTAGTAGCGCAGAAGTAAGCGCCGAAGACGTTCAGGTTGAATAGTTGATCGATTTGAGCGCGACTGAAGTCGAAAGCAGGCTGGTGCTTCGTCATGCCAGCATTGGCGATAAAACCGTGGATCGCACCTTGTGCAGCAATGACAGCGTCGATGGCAGTGTTGACGCTTTCCTCAAATGTCACATCGCAGTGAACGTAGTGCAGTCGCTTGGGACAGGCTTTTTGCAGTGCAGCGAATTCCTCGCCGGGCTCGAAGATGTCTAAGCTATAGATAGCCTCTGCGTCGTTAGCGAGACACACTTGTGCGAGAGCCAGCCCGATACCCCTGTTGCCTCCGGTGATGCCAATTACTTTTCCTTTCAAGGATACTTTCCAGTCATGGTCTGGGCCTGGGGTGGTGTCGAGAAAGGCCGGTGAGGTGTTGGATGCGGTCGCGTTGCCGTTGCCGCTGGTCGCTGGGGTGTCAAGCATACTTGGAGGCATTGTGGAAGGTGTTTTTAGGTGATGTTAAGATTATTGGAAGGTTGGCTGACTCCTGCAGGGGGCGACTTGCCTATTTTAAGTCTCTCCAACTTTGCTTTGTGGTCCATGAGATAGCAGTGCTCGATAGACAGGCGTCGCATGGCTCTCTGGGGACATGCTCGTGCTGCCACGGGTTGGCCAATGCCTCAGTTCTCCGGGCAAGAATGTGGCCAATGGGACACAATTGCGATGGTCGTTGGTTTCCGAAGCGAGTCCGAGTCAATTTGCGATCTGCATCCAATATCCTATGGGCCGGTGGGTCTTTCAGTGCCTCGCTTCGAGGCCACCCCGGATCAGCGATGGTCGGGGCGCATCTCGGTATCTCCACACGGTATCTCGCTTGTTGCAGTTTTGTCCTTGGCCACACTATCGACGCTCTCTCCAGTTTCCACCTAGGCCTGTGGCTAGAGACCAATGTATATGCATTGATGACAACATCATGCTCACGATTGCCCTCTCAATTTGCAGCTGTCTTTTTTTTCTATGCCTTATTGTCCAAAGGAGTTGTAACCCTATGTTTCACATGATTTTCCACATCAGTTCCGCAACACAAATAAAATGTGTTTAGCATGATGAGACATGCTTACCGTCATATTATGAGCCAGTCTACGGAAAGCTACTACAATTGGAGACGGTTGTCTTTCAATGAGTCGGTGGATTGACTTCTACCTATAATTGAACACTGTGAGAAGAGTTCGCCTTAAATAGTGGTGTGATAATTCGTAACAAGCATGAATTGTGATTATGCCGTCCATCAACTGCCCGCATTCACGCCACCATCACTGGACGTTCCCCGATCGTAGACGGCGACGGAACCAGATGTGCAAGACCAGAAAGACAACCACGCCCACTGCCAGCATAGCAGAGATCACAGAGAACCCCATGATGTATTTCGGGCTGTCCTTGTCAGGGAAAAGATACTGTTACATGTCAGTTAGTAGCACTAGGGAACATCAACGTTGAGGTTAAACACATACCGATCCGTATATTTGTGCTAAATTGCCCAGCGCATTTACCATCGCCAAAGCAACACCCCTAGCCTGCGGATGCATTCCAGCAAAGGCCGAGGAGGCATACGCCAGTGTACCGCCATTGGTGGACCAAAGCCCGGCGGCCATAAGAAGAAGGAGTACATATCGAGCAGTGAAGTTATACACAGCACAGACAATGACCGAACAGATCAGGGAAAATGCCAGCCAGCCAGCAATGATTAACCCACGCCATGTGGGGAACTTGTCACCGCAGTAGGACGTGATACCTGTGGCGACGAAGGCCACGCCGTAGATCGGGACGGTCAGGAAATTGACTTTCTCGGTGGACGCGTCGCCGAAGAGCCCTTTGACTAGGGTAGGATAGAAGTATGTTAAGGTGCTTGACCCAACGATGACCTAAAATTCAAGAAACAAATTTAGTAAGAGAATCTGGTTTATAGTAGAGATAATCTGGAAGATCAAGCCAGGCAAAAGAATCAACGAACCATATACCCAATCACAAAGGCCCAGGTGCGGAAGTCTTTGCAGGCTACTCTACACGCCCCCAAGCTACTCAAATGCTCGGTATCTTCGGTGGTTGCCGTGACATTCTCCCTGGCTAGTCGGGCCACAGCTATCTGCCGCTCGCGATCGGACAGTCGTCGCGTTGTAGCAGGAAAGTCAGGCAGGACGAAAAGAGATACGAGCGCACAACCAATGGTGATAACACCTTCGATGATGAAAAGCCATCGCCAGCCTCTAATCCCATGCACACCTTCAAGGCCGTCGACAATGCCGGCCGCGATGAGTCCACCAAAGGCACCTGATAGAACGGCTGCCGAGATGAACACGCCAAATCTCTTGGACTGCTCGGTCTGCTTGTACCATGATGACAAGACCAGTAATACTCCGGGAGCAAAGCCAGACTCAATGCAACCAATGATGACTCTCAGGACTACCAGATGCGAGAAGTCCTTGACAACAGCCATGACACAGGTCAATGCTCCCCAGATAATCATGATGGTAGAGAGGAAGATGGATGGACGTGACCGACCCAACGCCAAACTGTTCGCAAACAACGCTTGGTTATTAAAGTCTCAGTCTAATACACGTGCGTAGAGAAGCCATACTTGCTAGGAACTTCGAACACCACATATCCGACAAAGAAGACAACTAGAGCAATAGAGTATTCGTTGGAGGTCAGATTGAGGTCTACCTGCATCCCGGAGATTTTGGCATTGCCGATACTGCACAGAGACAACCATTAGCCCTTGAAACATGGTCAATTCTAGATGAGGACATCGTCACACTTACTTGGTCCGGTCCAGGTAGGATAGGAGATACATGACCCAGACGGTAGGTAGAAGGGTCATGTCAATCTTCCTCACCAGTGCTTTCTCCTCCTCCGGCGTGAAGGAAATCACCTCGGTCGCATCTACATCTTCGATCTCGTGCGATGAGGCATCCTTGAGCTGTCCCTCGTGAATATCGACTCTGTCCATGATAGCTTGTAAATACAGCGAGGACAGTAGTCGAAGAGAAAAGGCGTCAAGGGCTGGAGTAGTGGGCTTGTCAGGTTTATGCCCTACCACTGTGCCCGATATATACAAAGCTAGCTAAACTACTTCGAGTATCTCCAAGTTTCTCGGTGTCAGACAAACCCGCGGTCATCAGGCCACCTGTCATGCCCCGGACTAAGCATGACCGTATCCACCCCCACAATCTTTCTCCGCGCCCCTTGGGGTTCCCCGCAGCCCGGACAGCAATGAGCAATTGGGTCGAAGGGTTTCGCATCGAGGCCAACTGCGGGACAACTTCTTTGCGCCATTGACGCCATTCGTAAAGGTGTTGTAGTGCAGTACTCGTGGAGGTGAATAGCAGTTGATCGTAGCGGACCTTGCCTAGCTAGAAGGAATCCATTTTCGAACAAAGGAACGTATTGAATGACATTGTCTTGGAAGGGAGATTGCTTAGCGGTGGTAATACCTAGTATGTACATATTCTCTTGCATGTAAGATCATCCTGTGATCGGCTCGAACGGCAGGTACCGCTATATATAGTCTTATGTGCGATGGATGGGAATCATGTTGATGAGACAGGGGTGAATTAACTCTCGTCACGAAGCCATCTATCGAAGAGCAAATTACACTTAGTGTCTATCTCTGCAAGCCAAGTCGATGTGAACGTGGATATCATAAATTGGAATGTGTAGCTATCGTATGATACCCAGTCGGTGGCTGCATGGTCAGCTCGGGACGATGCTTAACTCCGATCCACTGTTAGAGGTCCTTTACAGAAAGTGGCCTTCATTGTAATGGTACCAAGAAGCAATAGGAAATAGCTGGAATGCTGTGAATTGTATATGGATAAGACAGAGAACACATAAACACGAGTAAACACGAGACCATGGTCTTCGATCCGGGTAAGTTTGGTTTTGCGGGTGTGTTGCGCTGCCGCGTAGTGGGACTGCCGTTAACCCCAGATTCTGGAGAAAAAACTCGAGTCTTTCCCCCGTCGGTGGATCCCGTCGGTGGATGTACCACAGCTACCCCGGCCTTTGGAGCTACCATATGGAGACTGTAATCAGCATAGTTATGCTAGTTCAGGGTCCACAAGTGGTGTACGGGATCTATGATGATAGAATCAGCCGATGAACGAATGCTCATGTGGCCCCGGTTGGCTTGCGAGGGGCAAGGGGCTCGCATCGAGAGCTATCGGGCGGATTGCCGACCGGTATGATAAAGCCCTCAATACACATAGGGAACACCAGAATTGGGAAGGTTAAAAACCATGTGGAGACTTCATCGCCTTTGCTTTGTCAGTAACATCAACTTACCGGAGTCAGACGCAGTCGAATGCAGCGGGAAGCTTAAGATTCTGGCTATCCGTTTAAGGTTTCGAACCAATTGGCGAAGTCTGGGGCGGTCCCGAGACGATGTCAAACATAGCTTTTAGCAAGCCTCAAATTTCAGCAGCGATGATCAGGGCGACCCACCACAATGCGGGGAATCCGGAGATACCCCAACCCTCCAAGCTGTTTAACGCCGGTCCAGCAGAAAGGATATTCATTATAACAAAACCAGTGCTTACCTTCATGGTATTCTTGGCGAAATACATTTCTCTTCAACCCACCTGCAAGCGAGATTTGATTCCTCATTGAAACTGATTGCCAAGTCAGTTGCGAGACGAAAATAAGAATGAAACCATTCACAAATCCCTATGCGTTTCTCACCGAGCGGCTAAGGGGCCGAGGGGCTAGATCAGCATGGATCGAGTACCTAATTACAGCTACATGTGGCATTGGGTGAGTATGACCCCCAGCCTTACACGCGAGACGGAGTCTAACGCACGCCTCTGCGCCACGTAGGAACATGCTCTTCGGCTACGATCAAGGTGTCATGGGTAGTCTTCTCACGGGCCCATCATTCGAAGCAACATTCCCTTCCATCTCGAATGGCAACTCTACCCTCCAAGGTTTCGCGGTACGTGAAGATGGGGCTTGGCTCTTCAGAGAAATTACCTACCAGGGACGTGCCTTTAACATGAACAGGTGGCGGTCTATGAATTAGGATGTGCAGCCGGCGCTTTGACTGTCATATTCAGTGGTGACAATTTCGGCCGAAGACTGACCGTCATGGTGGGAGAGCTGATTATCATCTGCGGTGCCATCCTTCAGGCTTCCTCTTTCAGTTTGGCCCAATTGATAGTAGGCCGTATTGTCGGTATGTTCCAAGCTGCTTCTAAGTGCCTAACATCGAGGAATACTGATCCATTCTGCCTCCAGCCGGGTTTGGAAATGGTATGGCAGCTGCTATTCTGCCAACTTGGAATGGCGAGTGCTCTCGTTCTAAGAACAGAGGTCGAGCCGTCATGTGGCAACTTAACATCAACCTGGTATGTCAGGGTGCATTTATGGCACCTTCCAAGGAATCATCAGCTAATCTTTGCAGTTCGGGATTGCCCTAGCATACTGGGTCGACTATGGCCTGGCAGCCTCCTCTGTTACCAGTAACAATGGTTGGGCATGGAGGCTGCCACTGGGGCTGCAGTCTGCTTTCTCGGCTGTGACAATCGTTCTGGCACTCTTTCTTCCGGGTAAGTGGTAATAGCCTCGTGTTCAAACAGTGTATCGGAAGACTAATGCGCAATTCTCTAATATATCAGAATCCCCGCGGGTTCTGATGCGCAACGGAAAAGTTGATGAGGCACGCGACGTTGTTGATATGTTGTCGTTGGAAGAAGACCCTGCTACACGCGCTTCTGAAGTTGTTCGTATACCACATGCAGTGATAATATCCTTTGATACACGGAGTCGCTAATGTCACGGGATTGATCTAGTGCACAGTCGTGTCTTTGATTGAGAACGCACTCCAAGAAGATTCTCAAAGTGATTCCCAATGGCAGGCTATCTTCACCCAGGGAAGGCCCCGATTTTTCCAGCGTCTCATCTTGTCTGCGTTTGTGATGTGCATGTACCAGCTTACTGGCGTCAATCTTATCACATATTATGTGTAAGTCCAGCTGTCGATCTGTTGTCCCGAAACTTTCAACCTCTTGAAATATATCTTGACGATCACCCGCTTACCACATCTTATTCAAATACCACAGCCCCATTATCTTCCAGAATACACTGAAGTTCTCCAGACATCTCAGTTTGCTGATGTCCGGCTTTGTCGGCTTGGAGTTCTGGATTGCGAGCTTTATTCCAATTCCCCTCATCGACAGACTTGGGCGTCGGCCCTTACTGCTTTTCGGGGCGGTCGGGCAGTGTGTCAGCATGGCTGTTCTCGCCGCCACAGTTGCGTATCCAGGCAATAAAGCATGCGGATACGTGTCCGTAGTTTGTGTTTTGTGAGTCATTTTGTCTATAGAGAATTTTATTTTATTATATTGCTAATGTCGGAATGTTAGCATCTTCAACACTGTCTGTGCCATCGGTACCAACGGGCTGGCCTTCTTGCTACCCGTCGAGTTAACTCCGCTGCAAACGCGTGGAACATCCGTCGCCATCTCCACCGGCATTTTCTGGCTCTGCAATTTCTTTGTTGTTATGATATCTCCAGTGCTCATCTCTCGCATTCAGTATGGTACTTACATCCTGTGGGCATGTACGAATTTGTCTTTTATCCCAGTGATATACTTTTTCAGTAAGACTTCCTTCATCGCACGCTACAGATCGAAAATCCCGAGTTTGAACCCTTTGTTAACAATCTTGACACCGCAGTTCCGGAAACCTGCAAGGCGTCTCTTGAAGATATTGATGTCTTGTTCGAGAACAATCCTAAATGGCTCATTGGCCCACAGTCCAAGAAGAAGATGGCCAAAATCACGGAAGATGCTTCGGTGCCTACTGACGCTGTTCTACATGGAAGGAAGGAAAGTGCTCCTACAGTCGACATGGTTGAAAACGCATCTTCCATATGCTAGTATCCGCGTCACTTATGATTATGGCCTAGCTTTGGTATATGATGACAGAGAAGGGAGGGAACCTTGGGCCTCGTAAACCTGCAACTTCATCTTTGGCATGTACATAGATAACATTGTTAGACAATAGAGGAAGTGGGTTTACCCCATAAGCTACTCATGGGTCTTTGTCGTATCACCTCTTTTCTAAACGTATACACCAAGTTCATGTCTGTTGTACCTGTGGGAGTACACCCTTTCTTCGAGACATTACAGTCATTAGTAGTAAATTTGTCGAAGATATGTCGAGATGACTAATCATGCTTATGAGGCAGTAGTTATGACCATTGTGGGGGCACTACATTACTCACGGGAACGCAGCCGAGGGGTCATCGAAGCGAGGGTCACCGGCCTCGAAGCGAGGCACTGTTCCGACGATGGCCAGCACTCAGAACCATATGGAAATACTGGTACTGCGAATAACATCTGACTATACTATAGTCAGTGGCCTCAATGACAGGTAATTGTCATCGTCTCGATCCAGAATTAATATGACCCATTACTTGGTCAGTGCCTGAAATCCGGGGCGCATGGCATATCGGGGTGGATAGCATGATGTATAAGAATACCGCCATCTCGATGTCTTTGGCCTAACAATCTCAAATTCACTACCATAGAACGTTTTCTTGCAGAAATAAACTCTTGGTTTCGCAGATAGCCCTCACTTTCCGGCTATGGCGCCCGCACTAGAACTTACAGAGAAGCCCATCCAAAGTCTGCTCACGAAAGCAGTCTCTGGTGTTCGCAATGGAGCTTCAGCCGGTGTCGGTATCGGATTAGAAAGCCCAGAGAAGCACCAGCGTGTGATGAATGTCTTTCGAGCCTTCATTGCCGATCTTGCGCAGCAGTATGGAGAAGGCCACGCTGGGTAAGTCAGCTCCGAATCCCGGATATCCTGTTTGACAACATGGGAACGGCTCTAACCAACCTCGACAGTGCCCCATTGGGTATGGCTGCCATCGGTATCGCCTTGTATAAATATGTCATGAAGTATTCCCCAAAGAACTGCAATTACTTCAATCGCGACCGTTTTGTCCTCTCCAATGGTATGTCTCCAAGTGTTGCTCCGGCCGAGCTGCCTGACCATACTCAAATTATGACTAACAGAGAAACGTTGTAGGTCATGCCTGCCTATGGCAATATTTGTTTATGCACCTTATTGGTATTCCGAGCATGACACACGATCAACTCAAGACATATCACTCGGCGAGACTTGACTCTCTCTGCCCTGGTCATCCCGAAATTGAGATTGATGGTGTGGAGGTCACAACGGGTCCTCTCGGCCAGGGTGTGGCTAATGCCGTTGGACTCGCCATGGCCACTAAGAATCTGGCTGCTACATACAACAGACCTGGCCACGAGGTGGTAAATAACATGACGTGGTGCATGGTCGGTGACGCCTGCCTTCAGGAAGGTGTCGGTCTTGAAGCGCTCTCACTCGCTGGCCACTGGAAGTTGAACAATCTATGTGTCATCTTCGACAATAACAACGTTACGTGCGATGGAAGTGCAGATGTTGCTAACACTGAGGACATGAACATGAAGATGCGAGCTACTGGTTTCAATGTGGTAGACGTGTACAATGGGGACACAGATGTTGCTGGTAGGTCTACTGAACCGTTGACTTCATGTGAAGGGTCCGCTAATGCGATCTAGCCGTCGTGAACGCGCTCAATGCCGCTCGCCATAGCGATAAGCCAACATTCCTAAACGTCCGCACCGTGATTGGTATTGGATCCGCCAAGGCCGGCACGGCTGATGTGCACGGATCTGCCCTGGGTGTCGACGAAGTGGCCAACCTTAAGCGATCGTTTGGCCTCGACCCTCACGAACACTTCTACATTCCAGAGGATGTCTATGACTTCTTCCGTGATATCCCTGGCCGTGGCGAGGCTCATGAAGCGAGTTGGCATGCGGCTGTTGACAAATACCGTGAAGAGTACCCCGAGTTGGCCGCTGAATTTGCGCGCCGTGTTGCAGGAAAGCTTCCAGAAGACTGGAACAAGTACATTCCTAACAAGGAAGAACAACCTACTGCACCCACTGCCTCCAGGAAATCTGCTGGTGTGATAACCAATGCCCTGGGACAGAACATCAATTCGTTCTTGATCGGAACTGGGGATCTTACGCCCTCCTGCAATGTCGCCTACAAGAACAAAGTCGACTTCCAGTCTGTAAGTGCCACCAGCTTCCTTTCCTGATGCCACTTTCGGTTACTTACATGCACTTCAGCCTGACCTCCAAACTGTGTGTGGTCTGACCGGAGACTACAGCGGTAGATACATTCACTATGGTATCCGGGAGCATGCCATGTGCGCTATTTCCAACGGGCTTGCTGCATTCAACAGAGGCACCTTCATCCCCATGACGAGTACATACTTTGTCTTCCATTTGTACGCCGCTGCCGCTATCCGCATGGCCGCACTACAAGGCCTCCAGCAGATCCACATCGCCACCCACGACAGCATCGGAGTCGGCGAGAATGGACCTACGCACCAGCCCATCGCAGTTGCTGCGCTATGGCGTGCTATGCCTAACCTACTCTATATCCGCCCCTGCGATGCAGAAGAAGTTGCAGGCGCTTACAACGCCGCCATTCGCGCGACTGAGACACCGACTGTCATTTCACTATCCCGTCAGGGTTTGACCCAGTATCCTCAATACTCCTCACGCGAAGGTGTAATCAGAGGCGCGTACGTTTTTGCTGAGGCAGAGGGCAATGACTTTGACGTCACCATCATCGGAGTCGGCTCAGAAATGGTATATGCGATGCAGACCCGCAAATTGCTTCTTAAGGAGTATGGACTCCGCGCACGGATTGTCTCATTTCCTTGCACAAGGCTTTTCGAGCAACAGTCTCGAGAATACAAGCACTCTGTATTGAAGCCTCGCGCCGGCAAGCCCACTGTCGTGATTGAGGCTTACCCGTCTAACGGATGGGAGCGCTATGCTGATGCATCCGTGTCCATGAACTACTTTGGAAAGAGTTTGCCTTCGAAGGATGCATATGCTCATTTCGGGTTTGTGCCAGATCGCATCGCCATCAAAATCAAGGACCTGGTAGCGGAAGTAAGACGCGACGGGATTGAGGTCTTGAGGGGCGACTTTAGGGAGTTCAACGGGAGCCACTGGATTGAACTTGAGTTTTAGATCTGTTTATGGATTTCTCAATGACATGTGCCTTGTCCAAGCATATTGGGATCGAGGATGTCTCCAAGGGTTGATGATCAGATCGTGCTCTAGCAACGATCAATCTCCACAAGGACATGATTCTCAGCTTGTAAAATGTAGGATTGCCACACTTAGTGGAGAAATGAGTAAAATCAGTAACGCAAAATTAAGTACTGTAGAGGATAGGGAAAAGAAATTCACTAGAGTGTGTGCAAAGAAGTAGTGTGCATTTCATTCTAAGGATGTATGGAAGGTGCCTTGAGCTGACTAAAGAAGTCCTTCGACGGTCCCGGGCTCCAGTACATTGAGAACCTTTCGAATTGTATGTGAATCATATTTCATACTTTGGGGGTAGCATCTGCTTGATCACATCAAATGCCGGAGGCTCATCAAGGTAGTATGTCTCCATCGTGTCGACGTCGTCGGCGAGCTTGTGTATTCGCAGCGGATATATCACACCGTGCAACTTGGCGATAGATTTCTATTCTAGTAACTTATTCGTTCTGCTACTGAAGATATTCTCCCGGGTTATAAGCTCGACCTTGAGTTCGTGGTTGATATCAATTGCTGGACGATCGGCCAGTGGATGAATACCCTGTCGATGGTCACTACCACAGTAACTTTCACAAATATCGTCTGCGGCGTTTGCACTTTCTGGAATCCTGATCTCAAATTCGACTCGAAAGCAGTCTCCACGGAGGCATATGATCCGAGCGTCGGAAGATGGCTTTTGGGCATCGGAGTTCAAGCTTTCCCTCAATTAGTGAGCGTATTGACGTTGTATTATTGTTGGTAAAGGCCTGCTGCAGTTCACCATGGGCTCTATTACGGCGCACAGCTACTTCTTCGACCCTCCACTTGATTGCCGTGATGGCTATATGTTTCATTTCTCCATCTCGGACACCTGGTGTCAACATATTCCTTGTTATTAGCTCCACGGGAAACAGCGCCTTCGTAGTTTTATCTTGTGGTCGTTGCTGTGATATTTGTAATTTAGATTTCCAGAGGGGAAGCAGCGAACCGTCGAAAATAGTTGTTGGGGGAAGTGGTAGGTTGTATAAGGTGATAAAGCATGGCAAGAGGTTTCGACACGCTCACTGTGCGGCCAGACGGAAGATCAATTGTCGCCCTGAGAGAATAGTTGACCGTTCCGAGGTCTGTTTTCATCGTCGGAGGAAGGCAGTTCGGCACGGGAATATTAATGTAGTATACCAGACAATCTTCCGTGCCTGTATTTCTATATGACACGATTCTTTCAGATGTGGACCAAAGAGTACAATCAAGGACAGTCTCTTCGTAATCCGATGCTATCAACTGCTTTGTCGCGGAGTGTCGAAATTGAAGAGAACTCCACCCACGACCCTTCAAGTTTGTGCAAGATGAGCTATGGCAACTCTTTACGGAAGTCGAATGAGGAACCACTCGTGGATCCAATAAGATTTAAGTAGAGGAAGCTAATACAGTATTGCTTAGTATTATTTTTCTAGCTATGAGATCAAGTAGAACCAACGTTAAGTGAATAAAATGGTCGATTGAATCGAACTAGCACACTCCCTGGGGGAGGTTGAGATCCCTCGTGACTATCTCTGGTACCCGGTGTTGTGGTTACCAAATTACCACCAAACCAGATTACTGTACAAAATACAAGGGATTGTAACGCTCCATATCAATAGCGCTCTATAGTAAGCTTTGTCTTGAGAGAATCCTTTGCGAGAAACCACCCATTACTCTCCAAGCAGGCGGCTTACTTTTCCTGCCCAGTCGAGGCTGTCGCACGATCTCTCGTCTTAAAAGAAGCCTTCACGATATACTCGATGTCCGTCCCTTTGGAGTTTAGGAGGGGCCGGACCTCAATATATAGCGGCATCCCCTTCCACGAGCTAATATATCAATGGAAGAGGACTGGGCCGAAGATGTATAACACTGCGATTGCTTTACTGCCCCCTTGGTTGTATATAAAGTTGTCAAACTTGTCCGGTGCTTCATCAATAAGCATTTTTGAGAGTTGATTATTCCCGGTATATCTGTTCCGCTATACTCAGAAGCCCCTTTCTTCTTACAGCTGATAGAAAGTGTCTGCTCCTCGTATCCCTATTCAACTTGCGCCTCGTATTTCGTGGTTCCGGTATTAAAATTATTATTATTAGCTATTGTAAGAGTAGTATCAATGTCACCGCCAGTTATAGTATACTGCTTCTTATATATTAACTCGAACTTATTGTCGTCTTCAGCTTTGCAGATACAAATGCTCCAGCCGACTGTGTATATTTCCTTAAAACAGGTATTAAGAAATTGGATATTTAGCTTAGTAGTAGTTGAGGATATTATACAAATAGACAGGACAACACCCATTAACTTATTCTTAAGGTTTAGGACTGCGGTTACATTAAGTAAGAATCTGATTTATAGTTCGATATTATATTCAGCTCTGCCAGCGCTGAGGAGTCTATAATACCAGTCATAGTGAAGAGGTGGTGTGAGAGAAAGATGTTTAGAAACTGGAATCTACGAGTGAAACTTAACTAGGGACCCAGAGTAATAATAAATCCAGCCTGTCTTCAATAAAGCAGTGGTTAGTTAGAATTTTTCAAGATCCAGGATTCTGTATGTCTAGTATCTAAGATATCTGTTTAAAAAGCAATTAAGTGAAAACATACTATATTTATAAACATAAGAGGCCCATAGCTATGCCAAAGTTGAGAATTTCTAAATAATATCAATATTCGTATTGGTTGGAAGGTTGTGCCACCCGATGCTACTGAAACTACCCCTAGAATGTATCATATCATGAGACTTGCTCGCTTGCAGGAATTGAGGTAGACTTTGGTCCATTAGCATCTAGGCACTTAGAGAATCTGCCTTTCACAATAAGCATATCTGACGGTTAACTGCAGTTTATGCAGAGTGAGGAGCAGCGCTAACACCAAGCAGCCAGCCCAAGCCAGAGACGGTGTCCTGGGCAAATTGCTCGCTTGCACGGAGTGATGGATGCGTATACCAGAAGACATGGGGCAGGCCTTGATAGACAACGATCTTGGTCTTTACATCGTGTTTGAGGCGCAATTCTCTTTCGTAAATCAACGCATCGTCTCTGAGAAGATCGGCACCGCATACCTGAAAAAAGGTCGGAGGTAAATTATCGTGTCCAGTCGGCCAAAGAAGAGGACTCCACAGCGGGTATTGAAAGTCGGGTTGGAGCTCTTCGTCGTAGAGCGTTATGCTTTTGGAGGTCAGCGTGTAACCGTCCTTTAGATCCTCCCTGCTTTTGTACAGGTCTCGATACGCGTCCGTTAAGGCCTGGGGCGCTAAGGTTGGAGCAACATTGAGGTGGACCCCGGTAATCGGGGGATACAGGCACTCGTCACGGGCACGATGGACAAGGGGATTCGCGATGTGGGCACCCGAGGATGTCCCGCCAAACACAAACCCCTTTGTTAGGTCTGCTCCAAGAGCACCGGCGTTTTTCGTGATCTGTCATTTAGGAAATCAGACACAGCTGCATTCTATTCAGCTCAAAGCACGTACCCACAAGAGCGCATCCCAGCAGTCCTCATAGACAATTGGAAACTTGAACTTGAGTGAGAGACGGTGTTCCAGGCTGACCGAGACACAGCCGAATGCCATTATTGCACCGATGCAAGTTCTGGATTCCAGTTCGGCGCTCCCCACGCGAAACCCACCACCATGTATCACAGCGACAAGAGGTCGTAGCTCGGCTGCGAAACTAGTCAATTGATACAGAAGAGCTCGGGTCTTGCTCCCATCTCACAGGAGTATGAGAATCTCATCCTCTGTGACTTTGCCTTCAGCTTCCTGGAGAAGGAGGTCTGCCTTTTGCCGGAAAGTCTCATTCCATTTCATACGGATTGAAGCAGTTTAGTAAATGTATCCTCATTCTCAAGACTTGATCCTGTGCCAGTATTCACCGCCTGCAGTCGTTAATTCATGTTCTTCGTAGGGGGTGAATACACTTGCCTCAAGAAACTCAAGGTCCAGATCAGCGAAGAGACGCCATGTTTCCGGGTGATTAATTGATGGACGTGCCATTTTCAAGACAAAGTAGCTTCGGATCTTGTCAGGATGTTACGTCTTCCCGATTAATAAGAACCGAGGATGAAGTCGCTGATAAGGCTTCCCCACCATGAGTTATGAATAGCCAACAAGATAAGCACTCAGCTATTTGACTCGCTCAAGCCCCTGAGGACAACCAAGTGTCACCATGTTCGCAGCCTTCACTCGCAATCACGGCAGGGATGCCTCACTTGCCGCGACAAGAAGGTCAAGTGCGATGAGACCCGACCGCGATGTCTAAGATGCATTCGCTTGAACCGGGACTGCGATTATAGCGCCCGCATGCGCAAAAAATACACCCGGCGAGCTCAACAGGCGTCCTCGCTCGACCTCACATCTAGCCCTGTGTCTTCGGTGCCCCAGCCGTCCCCGGTCGCCACCTGTTCGTCACTTTCCTCGAATCAGGAGCAATTATATGCGTCTCCAACTAATCTCCAATTCCCAGCCCTTGGTGCTGAGACATCCTATGCGGTCTCTTCCTCTCACACATTGCAGGACGAGTTCGTCCTTTCCAAATTCGATCACGAAGCAATCGACCATGTGCTGTTCATCATGGCACCAAAGGTCGACACGAGGCACCCAGATTACAGCGGACCAGCCATGATATAGACCTTGTCACAAGACAGTCCCATGCTTCTTCACATGTTATGCGCTCTGGGCTCAATGAAATTGTGCCACAACCCGACCGCTACAGAGATACCTCAGCGCAAGTCCGAGGCTACTGCCAACTACGGGGCGGGTCTACGTATGCTGAACTCGGCAATTCATCACCTCAGCCGCGAGTCCGACCTCGATTATAGCCTGGCCACACTCTGGCTAATGATCTCGTACGAACTCGCCCACGGCGATGGACGAGGCTCGGACCTCTCAGTTCGTCTGCGCGGCGCTGCTGTTCTGCTCCAGGGGCGTCTGCGAGGCGTAGGCAAGCAGGCTTCAGGTGGGAAATCAGGAGCCCGGTACAGGATTACTCCTCTCGCAGCTCAATTACTCCTGTGGATCGCAATGGTGGACGGGAGTGCCGCGCTGAATGGGGTCGAGGCGACTTTTAATAATCTGCTTGGAGACTCGATGCTAGACGGCACGAACAACGACCCAGCTGCACGTCTTGTAGGCTTCAGCCAGTTGCAACGACACGCGACCATGGTATATCACAACATTTGGGGCACAAATTACCCGCAAAATAAGCTTATCAGGGACATCCAGTGTAGCCAGATTTTATGTCTTTAAACAGAAGTAGGCCAGCTCTGTTATATGCTCTCCACAATAATATGGTGAAATAAATCTGAGCAAGTTACTACTGAGAAGCTAGAATATATAATCTTAAATATTAAATAATACTATAGTAATATTATAACATTTACCTGCCTTCTTGAGCTACCTAGCAAAAGACCACAAAGATAATATATATTTAATCTCCAGAAAATAATACCCTTCTACTACACTATTATACTATTATTCTATAGATTAACTAGTAACCAGCCTTAGATTTTAGGCAATAAACAATAACCAGTATTAGATAAAATAATAGCCCTGGCATTTCAGGCCTACACAGACAAAGGAACCAGATCTATATACAGAATTATATAATTATTATTCATAACTGCACTCGAGCTTAATAACCTGATTAACTAAGCATAGATTTTAAAATACTTTAAGATATTAGTTTAAGAGAGTAAAAATCTATAGTAAACTTATACAGCTTTCTCTTTAGTATTTTCACAGTAGAAGCTCTAGGAAAAGTAAGTCAGTTATCTGGAATTCTTATATAATAAGAAGATAAAGCCATTTATCCTAGAATAAAAAAAATAAACAACGGGTGGAGAATATAATAACTAATAACTAATAAAAGCAAGTCTTGATTAATTCATTATAACAGTATCTATAAAAAATTTTTTTAAAGACTGTATTACTCCTCTTTCAGCTCATAAATATATACCATAACTACTACTGTCCTCAAACAAATATACACATGCATCAAGTATATTTATTATAATGCCTGAGGTAGCTTCTCATATTAATTAAATATATATAATACACTACTACTAGATGAAAGATTCTCTATACTAAAAGAATCACTGGTCAAACCTGAAAATAAGTAAAAGATTATTAAATCTTATAATACTTTATTAAAAGTACTGGAATCTGAGCTTACTCTTATAAAAAAAGTCAGGCCATCTCTTGTTCCAGAAATCAACTTCAATGACATTCGTGAGAATAGTATGTCAGTAAAAAAGCATAACAGTTTATATTTTAATCTATATTTCTAATCTACAGGCGGCCTTCTACCTGAAAACTTTACAGATAATATTTAAGAGTAAGACTATATAATTCTGTGAGATATTATTAGTAAGAAACAGATAATTACCTGGACAATATTTTTCATAAGCTATATATAAAGCTATTCTAAAGTTAAAGATTATCCTGAATATAAGCCAGCAGTATAAAATATATTTTAGATACTAGTATAAATACAGATTTACTTCTATCCTGTTATAATAAAAGTAATAAGAGCTGTCTCTTATTTATAATATATCTTAGATTCTTCCATGCCAATCAATCTTCACACCCCAGTTATTTATCCAGACCATATCTAAATCAGATATTTTAATAATAATACTAAATAATTCCCCTTGGCTCCTCACCTCAACAGCAGCACAATCAAGTAATAGAAGGATAATATTAACTAAATAAATTTTAATATAATATTCACAGAGAACTGGGCTTCGTGGAATAAATGGACAGCAGATTATTATATCAATACTAAAATTGACTTATACTAATATGGAATATTATGCTTAATTTAAAAAAATCTCTAGAAATAGCTCTTATTGTCTTATATTAGAATCAGTAAGAATATACTACACCTTCTCTTCAGCTTGAAAATATTAATAATTTATATTATACTTCACTTTCTTTTCTACACTGGAGAGTATAATAATGAGCTGTTAATTTTTCTGGAAATAATATTAAACAGTATATAATTCTTTCTTATATCTAAGTATTATCCTTATCTATAAATTAACTAAAAATTAACTAAACAGTCATTAGTATCCCACCTGTATAACCAGATAACTACATCTTTTAGTACTGTAATCTAGTATATAATATGAATCCTACTAATCTAGAGATTAATAAGTCTAGTATTTTCTATGATATCTGTAATTTTCTTACTCCCAAAAATACAGAGTTACTTATTATAGGACAGACTATATTTCAGGCTGCAGATATCCTTATTAATTTTACTCGCGGCCATGGAGATAATAAAAAAAAATTCCAGTACAAGGATTATAGAATAAAACTTATTAATATTGTCGGCTGGAAATTATTTTTACCTTACTAATTGAACTCTTGTCTATTGATATAAAAACCCTTGTTCCCATGAATACCCAGAGTTATCACATGCCCCATATAAAATTATATGAAATATCTAATATTTATAGAGCAGATTGGACTTATTCCTTGAAATTCTGATAACCTCTCTTTTACATGTAATTCTTGTATTATTCTAATCAGTTGACTATGATTTCTTTATTTATTGATGATTCATGATCTTGGCCTAGATTCATTTACTACAGACAGTGAATTAAAGATAAATAAAGACTATATCTTTTTATTTAAAATATTTAGATCAAGTCTTTTAAATTATTCAAGCTCATTTTAGAATTTATTTCTTTCTTATTTAGACAGTAGGATTGCTTTCTTTTAATAAGTTTATTAATTATACTTATCTTTATATATTTTATGAATTGATACCTAGTTTTTTATTTGGGACTAGTATCACGTGATCTGAATATATTATTATTTTATAATTATTATTTGATTATATCTTCTTAAATTATGTAATTATTACCTGACCATATCTCTTATGATCATGTAATCAAAGAGATATTATTACTTTTATATTAAATTTTTTTATACCAGAATATTTATTTAATTTGGCTTAATAATCTTAAGCTATCTGATTTTTATTTCTTCTTAATTCCCCCAGGGGATCCTGATTAGACTCTAACAGTTATGAGTCTAGTCTATCTCAACTGAAAGGTCTACTCATATAAAGATTCAACTAATAAATATTTATAATAATAACAGAAATAAATAAGTTTATTAACCAGCTAATTGTTACGGACCCCTGCTAGTTAATCTACTAGTAAGGCGGACTCGCCAGGCAGAAAGCGCCGATAAGGGCAGCGCTCGGGCAAAGCCAAGTTGTTATTTAGTACAATTCCCGATTACCTTTACGACGCCCAGAACGGCCACGCATCACGTGATCACGGTATACACACGGATCTATGGTATATGGTATACCATCCCGGTCTACAACTACCATGGCGGTATACGACAGACCTAATGGTATATGATATGGTATACGGAGGATAGGATATATAAGGACACTCCTTCATGTACTTAGTTAGTTCTGTTCTTCGTGCTCAATAACACTGTCTTTAAGTAACCATACATTTGGAAGCTTAGCGATAGAACACTCGTCCGCACTTACTTACGGATAGCTGCGCGGCACTATCTGGCCTTACTTCTCTTCTCGTGTCCAAGACCAGTTGTCCTTAGATAGTCATCAGCCTGATACTTCCTCGACCCAGTTCGACGGTACGTATACCAGTGAAGCTAAGCTAACCGGGACAGAGAAGCGATCCTAGGGTTTGACACATTGAGCACCAGTCAGTACGAGTGTTCACCAGTTATAACCATCCATCATGTCGACTACTTCAAGTTCACCGCGCACTCCGCAGCAGGGCTCCAGTGCCCAAGGAGGAGGGCAACAGCAAGGCCCGACGACGCAGGAATTGATGGGTATGGTTAGTCAGTTGCAAGAAAGCATCACTGCCCTGGAGCAACGGAACCAGTTACTCGAAGGTCGATTGGCAGTCAAGTCTGTCAAAGTCAGACCACCGGAACCGTTCGACGGCAATCGATCAAAGCTTAGGGCTTTCTTGACCCAGTTAGACTTGTACCTCAACATGAACAAAGAAAAGCTCAAGAATGAGGTTGACAAAATCTTCTTCGCGTCCACCTATCTAACCGGAACGGCGTTCAATTGGTTCGAGCCGTTCATCCGCGATTATCAGGAAAAGCCGGCAAAGGATCAGGACGACGATACCAAACGAATCTTCTCTAGCTATGCCAGGTTCAAGGAACACCTCGAACAGACATTCGGAGACATCGACGCAGCACGAAACGCTGAACGAAAACTATGGCGACTCAAGCAGACGGGATCGGCATCCAAGTATGCCTCCGAATTCTTGCAAGTCATCAGTCACTTGGACTGGGATGAAGACGCCTACGTCGCACGATTTGAAGAAGGACTCAAGATGGAGATCCAAGAAAAACTCATCTGGCAAGAACGACCGGACACATTGCAGCAAATGATCGCAGCGGCGGTCAAGATCGACAATAAATTGTACGAGTACAACACAAAACGAAAGGAAGGCCGATGGACCAGTGGGTCTATGCCTCGACGAAACAACCAACAGGGCTACCGAGCCAATGATAGACGGCCAGCACAGCCTAGAAGCCTGGGATACGAGGATCCCTACGGACCAAAACCAATGGAGCTGGATGCAACGCAGCATCAGACTCGACGAAATGGAGTCTCCAAGGAGGAGCTCGAAAGGCGCAAAAAGGACCGCTTATGCTTTAACTGCGGCAAGGCAGGTCACCAGTCGAAGGACTGCAAGCAGAAACGGCAACAGCCTCAGAAGCAGCTGAGGGCCACAGACGAAGATCGGTCAGAACCAAATGAAGAGGCCAGAGGAGCCTACGATACCACTGGGGTTAGACCAGCAGGAGGTTGGATCAAATCCGCAGTACAGATACGAAGTAGCAAGGAGCTACGCGCCACACAACAAGGACGACTGCTAGTGCCAGTAAGCAGAACGTACCAGAACCGGTTGAGGCAACAGGCCGACACGGATGAGCCAACAGCACCAACAGAACCGCAAGAAATCCACCGACTATCCGAACCATTCGATTGGCCCACGGGAGTCGACGATAGTAATGAGCCAGCTCTAGAGGACGAATACCCCGATATAGTTTGGGACGAGTTCGACCCTTTGGACGAAGAGTACGGTACTCAGTTGAATGGCCTTGAACCCAGCAAGGAGAGACTCAGTGAGATACCCGATACCCCGGAAAAACCCCCATCAGACATCAATGAATCATGCCCCATGCGATGGGATGAAAATAAAGAGAACCAGGAAGATGACGAAGGTGACGTCTCTTATTGGTTGGACCGCATCATGAAGGAGTTTAAGGAAAATCCAGCGCGATTTTGCCCAGAACTCAAAGAAGTCATGCAACACTGTCCACATTGGGACCTGAGATGTTGGGAAACGCGAAACGAGGATTGGGGACAACACCTACAGAGATGTTCCCGTCATCCGGAATTTTGCCCAACATGTGGACGAGATAACACGGACTATCACCACCACCTGTTCAAAGTCAGCCGCAAGGTACAGGTGGCCGGGACAGATCCGAGATGCGATCACAGAAACTGCATGTGTATACATTTCAAAGGAAACAAGGGACACTGGAAACACGACGAACTCCCTTGGATTGGTGTGCTACACGGATATGTGCTCCACACATCATGACCAGAAGTACATCGCGACATATCGACCACAAGTACCAGAAGTGGTAGAAGCCAGGAAGGATCACTGTCCATGCACCAATTTCGGATGTTCATGCATAGGGTATAGACGACACCCGCACCACAAAGCAATGCACTGGATAACCTGCTTCGACAATCAGTGTATGACGCATTACGCAGCGAAATAGAAAACTCGAAATTTCCGCAGAAACACCCAAGCCAACCAGAACCAAAGTGGCCAGAACAGCAATTAGCGGCCACCGAGTCAGGGAAGCATTTGAAGGTTCAAGCAACCGTGCTTAGGACAACCAGCTCAAGTGCTAGTTGACTCTGGCGCAACCGGAAACTTCATGAACCCGCAATTCATGCAGCAACTTGGGATACTCGGAAACAGAAAGCGAAACCAGAAGCGATTACCGGAC